TAGAAGACGCGATCGGCTCGAAGCGCGCCCGAAGCCCTGCGCACCACGCGTCACACGTGCTGTATTGGGCGGTTTCACAGAATGAACTCAAGGTGACAGCTGAGCCCGTGGGCCCTTCCTCTTGCGACGGTGGCTCGTAGGCGCGTGGCGATGTCATAATGACTCGCCACCAGTCCATGGCGGGGCCCCTCAGCAGCGAGATGGCATATAGGATCTTTGCTGCATCCGACTCGACGTAGTTCGCGTCGAAGAAGACGTTCATCATGAAGACCCACGATTGACTGTCTAAGTCTGACTGTCCTCCGTCCATCGGCGGTGAGTGTGCTCTTGGCACGGACGTCCTTGAGGATAGGCATGAGGACTTTGAGTGTCTTGCAGCTGCTGTACCTCATTTCGTAGCCATGCTGCTTGCACCTTAGGGAGACCCGGTTGCACCAGACATCCCGACCCCGCGCTCTTACGCAAAGGCGATTATGGGTCCCTACTCCTCTCAGTGGCAGACAGTCATGGACGCAGAGATGGCATCCTGGAAGTCCACAGGCACTTACGTCGATGTAGTTCACCCTCCTGGGGCGAACATAGTCGATGGCATGTGGATTTTCAGGGTGAAGCGGCCGCCGGGTTCTCCGCCTGTCTTCAAGGCTCGTTACGTTGCACGAGGCTTTAGTCAGCGACAGGGAGTTGTCTTCTTCCAGACCTTCTCCCCTACCCCAAAGATGACCACTCTTCGGGTTTTGCTGCACGTTGCCGCTCAGCGTGACTACGAGCTTTACTCTCTTGACTTCAGCACAGCCTTCTTACAGGGCAGCCTCCATGAGGAGATCTGGCTGCGCCGTGCTTGTGGCTTCACTGGGTCGTTTCCTGAGGGTACCCAGTGGAACCTCAAACGGCCAGTCTACGGTCTCCGCAAGGCGCCTCAAAAGTGGCATGATACACTGAGGACGACACTTGCGGCACTTGGGTTTGCTCCTTTGACTGCTGACCCGTCGCTGTTTCCGCGCACCGACACTTGCCTGCCACCGTTCTACATCCTCGTGTACGTTGACGACTTGGTTTTGCCACTGCCGACACTGAGGCACTGACCCTTGTGAAGTCAGAACTACAGAAGAGACACACATGCACAGACGTGGGTGAGCTGCGTAGCTATCTTGGCTTGCAGATTACCCGGGACACAGCATGGCGCACCATCATCCTGACTCAGTCACACATGGTGCACCAGGTGCTTCAGCGCTTTGGCTTCCGGTTCTCCTCGCCACAGTCCACTCCTCTGCCTACCGGTCACTCGCTCTCAGCTCCACCTTTCGACAAGTCCATAGAGCCGAGTGGCCCGTATCCAGAGCTTGTGGGCTACTTTTTGTATCCAGAGCTTGTGGCCCTCCCTCTGCACTCCCTGTTCTCCCCTGCGTCCCCCCTCCTTCCCCCCCTCGCGGCTCCCCTTGCGCCCACCCCCACGCACCCCCACTCGGTTCCCTTCGCGCTCCCCCTCTCAGTCCTTGTTCGAGCTCTCTCCTCTTCCTTCTCCCCTGCCCGTCCCCTTGTACGCGCCGACCCCCTCTCTCTTCCTCCGCCCTCCTGCTCCGTCCCCTGCTCCCACTTCTCCCACCCCTCGCCTCGTTTCCTCCACCCAAGCCACGCGCGCCCACATCCTCACTCCCCTTCTCACGGGCGCCCACGCCGATTTCCGCGGACTCCCATAGACGCAGCGGTAGAGGCGCGCACGCAGCGGGGATGGCGGCAGCGGCGGTGCCGTCGGCGGGGGGCCTGGGCGGCGGTGGCGGTAGCGAGGAAATGCGGAGCGCAACCGACTCGGGCCGCGGGATGGTGGAACAGATTTTGCTGCTTTATCGTCACCTACTGCCGTTTACCCGCCCTTGGCGGTCGCTCTCTCGTCGCAGTCCGTCATTGCGTGTCTGTCGCTCCGACATAGTAGCGTTTGCGCCAAACATCCTTCGACTGCCAATGTAGTATCACTGATGTAATATGATGTCTCTCAACGTATGCTAGGTTTGCACCTTTTGCATACCTGCCATTGCTACTGCTCCTCGCGCCTCTGCTGTCGCGGCGTTCCGCCTTCGCGAATCGGCTCTTCTCGCTCTCATCAACGTTTCGACGCGACCACTATCGAGTAATCATTCGTCGCTCTTTCGTCGCAGTGGGGCGTCACTGACGGGTGCTGTGTATTCCTACAGAATCTAGCACGCGGCCCGTGTTTGCCAAATGGCTGCCTGACGCAATCTAGGCTATAGGTGATTTTTGCTTCGATCGAGAAACAAAATGTACGGTTTTGCAAAAGTAGCGAACTAGGCGAACACATCGGAGTAACGTGGCTCGTAAATTTGCGAAGGTTCGGGGCGGTTCGGAAGTGGTTCGGGCTGGCTGGATATGTGGGCCAAACTAGCAACGCGAACTTCTCGGAACATACAAGGTAAAGCAAGCCTACAGCGATAAAGTATAATTTACTAAACAAACTCAACTAAATGAACAAGTAAAACTATATAAATTATTTCAATTCACTTCTCCACAAATGCTACAAGCCACTTGCCAAGTTCAACCATCGAGTGTAATCCTGCAGGATACACAAAGGGACGGATCCCCTGTAGTTAGTGCATGTAATATTACTCAATTTAGACATTCGTTTGTAACATCTTATAAACTAGGGTTGGGTTCTTGGTATTTCTTTCCCGCATGTTTTGACCGTAGAAAATCTTGGCGGCAGCTTGCAATGGCTACCTAGACTTTTTGTTGTACCAAGATGCTTTTGCTGCAGACCCCCAGAAGTCAGAGAAATTTCTCTAATTTGCATGAAAAACTCTGATATTTCAGATTTTTGTTTTTTCAGTGTACTTTGAGAATTTCAGATTTTTTAGGGTATCAGCTCTGAAATTTTCAATATTTCTTTTAGGCTAACTCTGAATTTTCAGAGTTTTTCTGGAGTGTACTCTGATCATTCAAACGCGTACCGACTCTGATTCAATGTACCTTGGCGCCGACACCCACGATTAACGGTGGTACCTGTACATATCCCGTCAATCGTGCGAAACCTGGGACAACAGTTAAGTTCTGTAGGCGACGCCGCCCTGCGGTGCGATTTTTTCCTTCGTAATCTCCAGCGCACACCCTGTCATAGCACTGATTGGTCCTTTTGGCAGCTTTTGCTTGCCATCACGGATTCCTCCAGTGTCCACAATGCTGAAATAGCCACCCACGTAAAGCTGATGGCAAGCAGAAGTTGCCAAAAGGACCTGTTGGCGGACACCCTGTTAGAGCACTGATTGGTCCTTTTGGCAGCATTATGTACCACGATGCTGCAACATACACCCTATGAAACACTGCTCACAGCATTGCATGGCAGACGCGCCTCGCCGTTGCCGTGCATGCTAGGCAACCAACCACCCAACTCAAGGATGGCCCATAGTGGGTTATAGGGCCATCGTCTTTTGAGCTAGGGTTTCATCCTTTCCCCCGAGCTTCAACTCATTGGGCCCAGCCAGTGCCCAGTTCTGTCTCAAAACCACCTCTCCAGTTCCTGCTTAGCAGGCTCTTTCAGAATCCCACCATGGCTCAGCCTGACAATCCCGCCACCAGCAATGACGACCCTGATTCCCAACATGCCTTAACAGGCTTAGATTTCTTGCTCAGTTCTCTAGCACTTGAGAAGGCAGCACGCGCCACGCCCGATACGATCCCCACCCAAAAGGAACCCGCAACACCCGGTATCTCAATGTCTCCCGACCCTGTGGCAGAGACAGCTGCGGAACCAACTGTCGCTTCTGCCTCGCACCATCCCACTCAGACCACGGTGTTATAGTCACGGTAGGCTCCAATGTGCCTAAAACGAAAGATAGAGTGCACAGTCGGATTTCTGCACAGCGGCTTCAAACGTTCATAGCATTCTGGTCACAGCTTGAAATGACCTGATTCAACTTGGATCTGGAGCGTCTTACTGTCGCCTACAATAGGCAATTTAGATCGCACGATTTCACCAAGTATTGACGACACAGCGTCTGTTTGAACGAACGGCACTATTGCAGCCACTATAGTCTTAGAACACAAGATAGGAAGAGTTAGGAAGAGTTACGAGTTGGGAATGACTCCCAGCTCCTACAAACCCCAAGAGCCGAGGTACAGTGATGTGGAACAGTGCCACACTGTCCCCAACCCCGAAGGGTCTCGAAACTATCCTTCACAAGGGCCTACACCAAGTGAAATGTTACACTACACTAAGTAATGTAACTATCTTCAACATCTTGAAGTGTACCCTTTTGGCGAGCTTTGAAATCACTTGAGGCTTGACACCAAGGCTCGGGTTCTTCATCACAAACTCATCCTTGAGTTCTTGATGGGTCTGCTGCACACACCTGAGACACGCCGAACGTTCGACATAGGACAAAATCGAAACCGCGCACGAGACACACGACAAAATAGAAACCGCGCGGGACACACAAATAATCGCGTAACGCGCGACTAGCGATAACTCGCTATTGACTCGACACACACACTCGACATCATGACCCATCATACACACACTATTATAAGCATGAAATGTATATTATCCCATGCCCTGATACCATTCCATCCACACCGCATGCACGCACACGGACAACAAGCCGAGTGCAAACCGTAGGTTGCACCAACACACGGCGCGCACCGTCTGGCTCAAGCAGGCAACCTTGAGCTTCGCCAAGGCCTCATCATCATCTGCCAACGTCAACAACGCTCCCAGCACCTCTGGGCGCCCTCGTCCTCGCCTCACCGTAAACTTGGCCGAGCTCATTGTAGGACTCTACGACGATGCGATTGAGAAGTACAAGAGTCAGTGGTCTGCCCGTTTTCACTAGCTTGAGATCACTAAAAACTCCTCAGGGTTGCCTGCATTCAAGTGTACCGTTGCAGCTCATAGTGGCGACGCAAGCAAGTGCGGGAGGCACGGGACAGGCACCACGGACTTGCAGGCACAGTCTTTTTGTAAGTACGCTGGCACGGCGAAGCACAAGCTGGCC